ATTGCAGAAGGCTTACTAGGACAAAGGTGGATACGCATTTCCATAGTCGAATAAATTCTGCTTTGAGAACAGTCACTTCCATAAAAGTGTTCCTTCCTCTGAAATGCGGAAATGAAAACTGAAATAAAGGAGATATTTATTGTTCAATGAAGAGCCAACCATTCTCCATTCAGTGGCTATAGTTGCTTCTGGTTTGTGAATTGTAATTCACAGAAAGTTTACAAAATATTTTGTCACTCAAAAACTTGTTACATCTGTAACGAATGTGTATTTTCCTCATCTAAAATATACAACACGTTTATAGGCTGACATTTTTCTGATGTCTGGACTAGACTGTCAGGAAAGTATAAACAGACGGTTCAATATATTTGTCATTTTGACTGAAAGTGTCTCACACATACTGCTGAAATTGCTCAAATATTGATATTAAATGTTTCCATTCTACTGTAGCACAAAAAAAGCTAATTTTCTCCTGTTGTTTCAGCTGTAATACTTACACATTTGCTTCAGTTTTTCAGCGATCTCCACTTCATGTCACAGCAGCACATAGAAACAGAAAAATGTGGAGATTATTAGTGAATGAACAGATGAACATGACAGAAACACTAAGACACTGTGTGATTCTTCATGTGCTTCTAATAATCACTTCTTCATCTGCAAGACTTTATATTATTGTTTTATGTGTGAACATTAGTCATCATTAATATGAACTAACAAACAATTTCCACAGCATTTACTGCGTCATGTTCATTTATATTTGTTTTATCACAAATTCAGTGATGTGTCACTGAATGACTGAGAGTCACACGGTCCAGATAAAACTCAAAATAACAGAGTAAAGGACAGCAGGACTATGATTTTACCCCAACTGCTGCTAAACGTTTATATATTTCCGTGAGCTTCAAAAACAGCACAAAAACAACACAACATGAACAAACACAGCAAATAATTAAAGCTCGAACCCCTAATAACACAAACAGACATAATCAAACACAGATCTAAATGTAATTGTTGTAAATTCAACAGTAAACAGACAGAGATTCAATCATCTGTATATCAATGTCATGCAGCTCAGTACTGGACAATCACACACTTCATTAATTACCACACTAAATCAAACAAAAGCAGAATATTTATAATACATAATAACTGATGATGAAAATTCATATTATACATTTAAACTACTGTAGCACAATAAAGTTCATTTTTCTCTGGCTGTATCAGCTGTAATACTTACAGGTTTCATTTTGTCGTTCAGAGATCTTTGCTTCATGTCACAGCAGCGCATAGAAAGAGAAATTAGGAGATTATAAGTGAATGAACAGACGAACATGACATTTAAATCTCCATATGACTTGTGAACTAGGTAAGTCTTACTAATTTCAAAGCTTTATGTGCAGTTTAAGTGGTATTTTACATTTACATCTTACTGCCATGCAACAAAATTCATTTTTCTCTTTCTTGCTGTATCATCTGTAATACTTACTCTTTTGATTTTTTAATTCAGAGGTCCTGCACCAATAAAATAAAACACCAGCAGCTGCTGCCGCTGTAGCTATTAGCAGCAGAACAACAACAATCCCTGCTACAGCAGCTGGAGACAGACCTGGAACTGAAATGATATAAAGAGTCATTAGTGCGAATGAGTGTCTGATTGATAACAAACACTATTATAAGTGTTGAGTTCTGAAAGTTACAGTATGATGTCTTTGTACACTGAAGCTTTTCTATTTTAAAGGAAGTTTGATTCCTTATGATTTGAGCCCTTTAATGTCACATCATTATTCACAGACAGCTGATAAACTACATCAAAAGACTTGAGTTACTCACCACTGACAGTAACAGTGAATCTCTTGTATAAAGTCTGTTTGTTGCTGCTGATCTTCACTGTATAAAGTCCAGAGTCTGTGGTTCTGGTGTTTGTGATGATCAGAGATCCAGTCTGATGATTCAGTTTGAATCTGTCTCTGAATCTCTCATCAGTTTCATCATATAATGGTGAGCTCTTGGCCTCTATATCATGTTTAGCTATGAGTTTTCCTTCCTCTCCAAACCTCCACACTATCAGCTCATCTCCGTATAGTTGAGGAACATGAAGAGCGACAGGATCTCCCTCCGTCACTGACATGAGCTTCATTTCAGCCTCACCAGCATCAATAACAGATAGAGACTCTACAAGAAACAGATTCACAGACAGAAAATAAACATACTGAACACTGTTACTGGCACTAGAATATTAAGCTTTGCAGTTGATTAGTTAATCTCATGGTTAATAAATAAGGCATATACAGATTAATAAAAGTATGTCAGATTGACAGTTACAGCTGGTTGACTAATTTGACTGGTCATGAGGCGTCTTATTATTTCATATCACAACACAGGAACATTTCATTGTTTGTATAACGGCACATGTCTGTGTTCAAATTACAATTAATTTTAGCAATCGTGCTTTGAGTGGTTTCAATACTGTTGCTGAAGGAATGAAACTAAAAATATATATCTATGTTCTGTATCAAATGTAAGTCACTCAGTATGAACTTCTTTCTAAAACTGTGGATTAAAATTACAATCACACTCTGCATCATGCTGCGGTTCTGAATACCAGTCATGTGATCACCTGTGACTCAATCACAGCTATGATATTCAGAACAACAGCATGACTGTGATATTGAAAAACTAAATCTCTGTAAGATTGTTGAACACATTATAAGTAATATTTCCTGGTTGCACTTTGAATCTGTTGAATTCAGATGAATATGTATATTAAAAAAGAAACTTGGAAACATCTAATTGTTCAAAAATAGATATTCTCACCATAGACAGTAACTCTGAACTTAATATATGAGGTTGCAATGTTGTGGCTGATTTCTGCTTTATAAAGTCCAGAGTGATTGGTCCTGGTGTTCTTGATGGTGAGAGATCCAGTCTGATCCAACTGCAGTCTGCCTCTTAATATCTCATCATCTTCATATGAGATTTCATTTCCATCAATTTGAGCAATGGTGGAACCTTTATCTCCAAACCTCCACAGTAGCAGGACAATTCCCTGTATTTGAGTAAGATCAGGGTTTAGAGTGACAGAATCTCCCTCCATCACTGACACGGACTTCACTTCATCTGTTTCAGCATAAAACACTCCTGCAGAACAAACAGAAAGAGTTTCTCAGATATTAAACTCATAACACAACTGGTAATGCTGTTGAAGTTTTCTCACTGTCTCACTGTGGTCTTTGTTCACCTCCCATTCTGCCTGAGACACCAATTAGCAACCTGGGTCCCTTATGCCAATATGTTTTGAGGTAATTCATTCATACACAAGATCGGGGGGTGGTGTCACAGCATGGTTGTTCCCTTACGAAAATTAACCATGGTTTTATTATAGAAAAAGTTTAACCGTGTTTTTTTTTTTTTTTGGCGTATTGATCACCATAACCGCAGTTTTACCACAATACCACTATGGTTAGTGTAGCAAACCCATGGTTAAATTGTGGTTACCGTGCTTTAACTATAGTAACCATGGTTTTTTAGGTCTTATTTGTTGTAAAGCCATGGTTAATTTTCGTAATGGTTCGTTGCCCCAATGCCAAATGCGGTTTCCGGTGACACCGAAAGTGTTGAAAAACAAAGAGAATTGCGCACTTACCACACATTCTTAGCAAAAACAGAACGATTTTGAGAGTGCTCTTCATAATGTTGAAGATTCCAGAAAAATCTGATTTCGATGGATAGTGTTATTATCATTAATACTCCATTTGTTTCTGAACTACATCCACTCATGTGACAGCGACGATTGTTAACAATCCTCACTAAAGGGCAATAGAGTGATTAATGTACAAGAATATTTATATACTGATAAAAAAAGAAGCAGCAAGTATTTCCTACATAGTAGTAGACTGACCACATGACTCAAAACAAAAAGGAATTAGTTTTAGTTTTACTTCTTCTTCTTCTTCTTCTTCTTCTTTGCGGTTTAAAGGCGTTGCATTACCGCCATCTTCCGGGTTATTTTCCTGTAGTGTTATTCCAGTTTATACGACAGTTCGTTCTGGTTCTCAAATCTGATTGGTTGAGAACCATGAGATATTGTACTGGTATCGCTACAGGAACGCCCTTTCACAATTTTGTATCACTCCGCTTGTTCTAGCCGGGTCTATGTTTTTTTTTTAATTATTCACTCTGAGTTAATCGTAGAGTACGTTAGTTAATATAAGAAACATATGATGGAGGAAAATAAATGAGCAATATCACTCGAGTAGGAGAGCAATACCGGCTCTATATCAGCTGATATAGAGCAGGTATCGCTCGAGTACTCGAGTGATATTCCGTTTATACAACAGTTCGACGGAACATGTGTGTAATTAAACAAGAAACAACGGAGTGCCTAATAAAACCCTCTTTTGTGCGGAACTACTTCCTTCCGCCACGGATTCAAAGCTCAAGTTGACAGTTAAACACGTCACTTTTAGAATTCGTATCAAGGGCATGTGCTGCTTCAGTTAGGTTATTAGTGAGAAATAATGAGGTTATAAGAGAGAAACAATGCGGCAAGACGTGCATCCAAATGAGAGAGAGAGAGACCTCGAAGCTAGACGTTCCTCATCACATCCGTTCTAATTAACAAATTACAAATATTTCTTCTGCCTTGTCCACTCACACCACTTCGCAATAGGCCTACATTTTATATGCTACCTGTCCCTGACAGCCCAACTTTTCTTAGTTCTTCCATCATTTTACCCCTTTGTTCTTCATAATTCTTGCAGCTCATAAGTACATGTTCTATGGTTTCTAAAACCTGACAATACTCTCTCTCACACACACACACACAAAACAAACAAAAAAACAGCTGCTAATGTGCAATGTACTATTCAAATGACTGCGTCCTACTCTTAGCCTAACCTAGTCATCATTATTTCTTCTCTCCTAGTCCCTCAATTCCTCACAGCACCAGCCCTATTTTGAATGGCATACAAATGTCTTCCTTTAGTTTCAATGTCCCATTGATGTTGTCATTCTCTAATGCCTTCTATCCATATTTTTCCTTCAGATTTCGACAGCTTAATATTGACTTCAATGTTCTTTTTTTTAATCGCTTGTTTAGCTAATTTGTCCACCCTCTCATTACGGAGTCCGGAGTCCAAATCAGTCGAATCTCACTACATTTCCTTTACTTTTGCTTATGTTGTCAATATTGCATATAACAGGTCCTGACGGCTATTGGACATACCTGTCCTGCGACTGTACACTGCTGACAATGAATCACTTCCAATTAAAGCTTATTTATTTATTTATTTTACTTTTTAAATCCATTCTAATGCCATCATCATATAACTCAACTACACCTCAGATCATTTCTGGGTCGTCCTTAATCACCTCCTTGATTAACAATACAAATTGCTGAACCATGCAGTCCTTCTGTACTGTTTGCTTGATAGGTCTGCTCCTATTTTAACCTGAATCGTTCTTCCTTTCAAGAAATCCTTTATCCAATTAAAATGTATTCCTCTAATTCCCATACTATACAACTTAATCATTAACCCTTCTCTCCATAACATATCGTACACTTTTTCTACATCAAAATATATTGCTACTACTGTCTCTTTATTTATTTGCGCTTCCTTATTTCATTTTCCAAACACAACACTGTATCCATACCCCTTCCTCTCCTAAATCCACTTTGGTATGCGGCCACCATACCTCGTTTTTCAATAATACACATTAGCTTCTCATTTACCATTCTTTCCATTAATGTACAGATATGAGACGTCAGGTCAATGGGTCTATAATTTGTTGGCTTTCTAGTATCTTTCCAAGGTTTTCTTATTGGAACAATAGGTCTTTGGCACTCTTACTTCTTCCCACACTTTATAGCATAAATAACGTTTTCTTCTCCTTCTAGTCTTCTGCATGGGTTGTAATAATTTATGACTACAGTTTTCTTTGGTACAGATCTCTACACTGATAAAAAAGGATTTTGTGGTGAAGTAAATACTACATAAAAACAAATTATTTGGGTAATGATTATATTGAGTGGACATATTATCTTCAAAGGATAACAAGCTGCCTGCTTACATGTTTGTAAAAACAAATTATTTGGGTAATGATTATATTGAGTGGACATATTATCTTCAAAGGATAACAAGCTGCCTGCTTACTTACATGTTTGTAAGTGCTACATTGTTTGAGTAAATTTTATAAACTGTAACTGAGGGAAATGTACTTGAGTATTGCATATTTAACAAAATAATTAAGTAGAAATTACTTGTCAAACTCTAACTGGCATGTTAAGTTGTACCTAACTTAGTTAAGTAGATTTTACTTAATTCAATACTTATATTTTACTTAACATTTATGTGTGCAAAAACTTGCAAAGTAAATCTACTTCTTGTTTTTTTCAGTGTACTATTACATATTCTTGTTCACTTAACCAAAACACTAATCACTCACTCACTGCAGAGCCAATGGGTAGAGCACTACTTGTCCACGCTAGTGTGCACTGTGGCTATTTAGATATAATTTAAATTCTGTTGCTTTTAAATGAAAATTAATATGATTAACAAGACATTCAAAAGGTCTTGCTATTTATTCTTCCCCCAAAGTTATGATCATTCATTTTTAGTTCAGGGAAGATATAGGCTATGTTAGTTTTATATATATATATATAACCAGTGTTGGGGAAAGTTACTTTTAAAAGTAATGCATTACAATATTGCGTTACTCCAAAAAAAGTAACTAATTACGTTACTTAGTTACTTTTTATGGAAAGTAATGTGTTACGTTACTTTTGCATTACTTTTTAAATCTGGACAGGGCTTGCTTGTTTGTTTTTAAAATAAAAAAGTTCTATTTTTGGCAAATATAAAGCCTTTCACACCAAAAGTGAAATGAATAAGCCTCAGGCTGAAGGGAAAGTAAATTTACGTCCGTACAGTAGAATGCAGAAGAAGAAATTTCAACACACTTCAGCAATAAAAAAACCACACAAATGTTTGTCTAGAGTCATTTTTGCTTATTAGTACGGTTGAACTGGATCATCGAAGGTCAGAAGCAAAGACATTGGTTAATAGAATGGGATTAAATACATAAAGGATATTTGTGTTGTTTAACATTTAATTATTGCAGGTTTGCGTCATATTCTGAGTTGCATTATTTTTATTCATTTTGAGGAATACTGAATCTGTTTTTTTTGTGTGTGAGTGAGTTGAATTAATGCATATTCATATTTATTTTGAACTACAGTAACATCTTCTGATTTCTCTCAACATGGGGACAGGAGAGCTGACAATCAATAAATTGAAAAAAAAAAGTAACTTGCGTTACTTATTTCAAAAATTAACTCGGATATTCTCTTGTAAATTAAAAAAGTAATGCATTATTTTACTAGTTACTTGGAAAAAGTAATCTGATTACGTAACTTGCGTTACTTGTAATATATTACCCCAACACTGTATATAACTATGACCCCACTGTCAGAATATTTAGGAATATTCACACATAATTTATACACATAAAATATCAGAGGTTTTACAAGAGAAAATAACGCACGTTTAAACCAATGAGCATTAAGCTGTGTCGTCAGAAAGTCATTTCCCAACATGCCTTAAACTTCAGACCAGCAGCACTCTCATCTTCAGCTCTTTTCTTGATATTACAAAACGTTCAACGTTTATTATAACTAGTGATGGGAAACCGAGACTTTCTGAAGCGTTTCCGAAAAACGGTTCATTTTTGCGCATTAACGACATCTAGTGGTCAGACCAACAAATTTGTTTTCTCCACCAACAAATCGTCGCGGAGCAGAGGAGGGTTTGAATGCAGTACGCATACATACATAAACTACATAGAGATATTCCTTGCCTTGATATATTATTCACAGAAACATGGCATGGACTTTCAGGACTTGTTCAAGACAATTTGATATGAATGTGTCCAGTTCCTCCGCATACTCAAAGAATCAGAATCGAAAGCAGAAATCAGAATCAGAAAGAGCTTTATTGCCAAGTGTGCTTACACACACACAAGGAATTTGTCTTGGTGACAGAAGCTTCTAGTGCACAGACAGGATAACAAGTGACAAGACACAGATAACGAAATAAATTAAAAATAAATATGTGAAAACAATACACAATAGACAAAAAGTCAATAGATAATATATTGAATGTACAGATGTGCTATACACAAATTATGCAAGGGAATGTGGCTAGATGTAATATATGTTAAACCAATAACATATGTATAATAAATATAAGTATGGATAGTTGGGTATTGCACATGATTCGCTCAGCGGTCCGGACTACCCTCTGTAGTCTTCTGAGGTCAGTTTTGGTAGCTGAGCTGAACCAGACAGTTATAGAAGTGCAGAGGACAGATTCAGTGACTGCAGAGTAGAACTGTTTCAGCAGCTCCTGTGGCAGGTTGACAATGATTCGCTCAGCAGTCCGGACTACCCTCTGTAGTCTTCTGAGGTCAGTTTTGGTAACTGAGCTGAACCAGACAGTTATAGAAGTGCAGAGGACAGATTCAGTGACTGCAGAGTAGAACTGTTTCAGCAGGCCTGTGGCAGGTTGAACTTCCTCAGGTGGTGAAGGAAATACAACCTCTGCTGGGCCATTTTCACAATGGAGTGAATATGGATGTCCCACTTCAGGTCCTGAGAGATGAATAAAAAGACATCTCTTGCTTCATCCGATTCTCCACCCGGGTATTCTTTGATGGCATTCTGTTGATTTTTTCTGTCTATCTGGAGAAAGGCAGGTCCTGTCACCTCCCCACGGAATAACTCACGGTGACTCTGTATCCAGCACTACACTGGACCTTATGTCCCTTACAAACTTCCACTTTATGTCCTCTTGGCGCTCCTGTTAAAAATAGAGAATATGTGTGTTACCTTCAAGTCATGTCTATCAAGACAAGCTCCTCCGGATACTCAAAGATGAATAAAAAGACATCTCTAGCTTCATCCGATTCTCCCCCAAGGTAG